GATTCCTTCAGTTTTCACTATTTTTCCTTGTTTGATAGTAAGTGTGGCACATTTGTCCAAGCCAAACTCCATTACAATATCTTTGCTATATATACGGACAGTGTTGAGCAGCGATTCTATTTCAGATGATGTTTTTCCATACAGCTTCAGATCATCCATGTAAAGGAGGTGGGATAGTCTGGCAGATGTTTTTGATGTTTGATAGCCATGTCCTGATTATTCAGTATTGTTGACAGAGGAAACAGTGCAATAACAAATAGTAATGGTGATAATGAATCTCCTTGAAATATTCCTCTCTTGATATTAACCTCTCCCAGCTTCTCACCATTGATCTGCAACTGTGTCTTCCATTGTGCCATCGATCTTTGGCACAAATTTTCTGATGTTTCGCTACTGACTCCTGTTATTTCTAGGCACTTTATTATCCAATATGTGGCAGAGAGTCAAATGCCTTTTTGTAGTCAATCCCTGCAACATTCAGGTTGGTCTTCCTTCTCTTGCAGTTTTCCAAGATCATTTTGTCTATTAGGAGTTGATCTTTTGTTCCTCTGCTATTGGGGCGGTTTCCTTTCTGCTCAGGTGGAAAGAGATTGTTTTCAACTAGATGCTGTTGCACTGCATCAACTACTACACCAGTTAGTAATTTGAAAGTTGTTGGTAAGCAGGTAATTGGCCTGTAGTTACCTGGTGTTGCCCCTTTTGCTGGATTTTTCATTATTAGGTAGGTTTTCCCAGTTGTTAGCCACTGTTCAATTTCTCCTCCTTGTAGTATATTGTTGAACTGTTTGGCAATGAGTGGGTGTATAACAGTTAGATGTTTCAACAAAACCCATGCAGTTCATCTTCACCTGGTGCTGACCAATTTTTGATTTTCTTTGCTCTTTTTTCTACCATTTTTGTTGTTATTACTAGTTCTTTCATTTCAACTTCTGTTTTATTGGCATCCACCTCTTTTAACCAAGCTGCATCCTTGTTGTATTTCTTTGGGTTATCCCATATCTGCTTCCAGAGCTGCACTGTTTCTTCCTTGTCAGGTACTGACTGATTCCTTGCAGTTTCTCCATTGATGGATTGGTAGAAACGTTTCTGATTGGATTGAAATTGGAGGTTCTGCCTATAGTTTGCAATTCGAGCTTCATATCTACTGATTTTCCTGGCTATAGCTGTTATTTGTTGCTTTATTATTTCCAGTGCTTCCTTGATCTTCCGTGTTTCTAAGTGGTATTTCTTGATTAGGTATTCTTTGGTCTTCCTGTTCTTCAGCTTCTTTTCTTTCATCTGTTCTAGCTTGCTTGCATGTGATCTTAACTTGCTGATCTTATTTTCTAGTTTAACCTTCCATTTTTCTGGTGCACTGTTTGTTTGTTTTTCTTTTTTGTTGATTTTGCATCCCAGGTATTCTGTTATAACTGCAGCTGTGCTGTACATTAGTTGGTTTGTTTCTTGCAGTGAATTGGTGCTTATACTTGATATTGCAATATTTGCATCTTTTAATGCTTGTGCTAGCTGTTTCTTTGGAATAAGCTTCAATGCAGGTAGCCTTATTCTGTTGTTTTTGTGCTGTTCTAGATGCTCAGTTATTCTTTGTTTCAATTCTTTTATTTCTTTAGTTAGAGGGTTTTGTTCTTCCTGAGGTAGAGTTGCCTGGTTTCCAAATGAGAACAGTTGTATATCTCTGCTAGATTCCTTCACTGCCAACTCCCCCTGGTTTGCCTATACATTCTGATTTACTTCTGGTAAGGCTTTGATTTCTTTGCCCTGGGTAAACCTTTGCAGTTCGTCCAATTCTGTTTCTGTGAATATTTTATTTCGTGTTATAAATCGGCGTTGATCTGCTAGTCTCTGTTCTGTTATTTCTGATTCTGGATGTTGTTCTTTCCAGAATTGGTGCATTCGTTTTAGATATCCTCTTCTTGTTGGACTTGATCTGTAGTAACAGATCATTATTTCTTTGTTTTCCATCACTGTGTATCTGCGACGGGTAAACACTTTTCTTCCAGTAGTTCTGCAGCTGCTGGCCCTGGTTGCTCAGCCAACAGTCCTGAGTCCTGTAACCCATTTTTCACCAGATATCCAGGAACTCCAATATCTTAGTGCGGACCTTGTTAACCCGGGCGACGTCCGAGCCGGTATGGCATTCTGAAATTTACGTCTCACCATATTTTTTATGGGAGAGACACTCTTTGTCTGACTCCTCTGATGAGACCTGTCCAGTATGGTTGAACCTCTGGCATAGCTCTCATCTTCCTCAGAGTACACAAGCCCCACAACCACGTCAAGGTAGTGCCTCACTGGGGGTCAATATAAAGTTTTTAATTTAATTTTTATTTTTATTTTTTAAGCCTATATTCTGCTCTGGGAAGCTCTGGGGGGGGGGGGGAAGGGAGGTTTTTTTTTTTTTTTGTTTTTTTTTTTTTTGGGAGGGCTGGGGGATGGGTTTTTTTTTTTTTTATTTTAATATATGTATTGTTTAGTTTTATTTTTCTGTATATGTTTGCCTTTTGTTTTGTATTACTTTTTCCTTTTTTGTAAAATTTATAAAACTTTCAATAAAAAAAAAAAAAAAAAAAAAAAAAGAAGCAATGGATGGAAACTAACCAGAGAGAGAAGCAACCTAGAACTAGGAGAAACTTCCTGACAGAACAATTAAGCAATGGAACAACCTGCCTCCAGAAGCAGTGAATGCTCCAACACTGGAAGTTTTTAAGAAGAGATTGGACAGCCATTTGTCTGAAATGGTATATGGTTTCCTGCCTGAGCAGGGGGTTGGACTCGATGACCTCCAAAGTCCCTTCCAACATTATTATTATTATTATTATTATTATTATTATTATTATTATTATTATTACTATTGTTACTATTGTTACTATTACTATTACTATTACATGTAGGATGGGAACTAAGCTGATTACTCTTCACTATTCAAACTGTGATACTATGAAAAATAAAAGTTCATTGTACCCAGTTTAGCCTTGGACAGCCTTTTTCCTTTTATTGCCTTTCCCTGTTCCTATTATTCTGAGATCAAGGAAAAAGACCAAGGAATGGTTGCAGGATTTGGGTTTGGCTAGTCTAGAGAAAAGAAGAACTAGGGGTGACATGATAGCAGTATTCTAATATTTGAGGGGCTGCCACAAATAAGAGGATATCAAATTATTCTCCAAAGCACCAGAGGGCAGGACAAGAAACAATGGTTGGAAACCAATCAAAGAGAGAAGCAACCTGGAATTAAGGAGAAATTTTCTAATAGTGAGGACAGTTAACCAGTGGAACAGCTTGCCTTAAGAAATCGTGGGAGCTTCATCACTGGAGGTTTTTAAGAAGAGACTGGACAGCCACTTATCTGAAATGATAGGTGTTATGTACTGAGCTTAATTGATAGCAGGTGCAGGGAGCTGCACCCGAACAATCAGCAGACCACGTGATCTGCCCCGGGTGACTTGCTGTCTGCAAGGAATAACTAAAGCAGGCAATTCAAGCGGGAAAAGCGGTTGCAATGATTGGCTGGCGATGCCCCAGAGAGACTGTATAAAAGGGGGTGAAGCCATTTTGTTGTTGTTCTGATTTACTCAAATAAAGACTTATCTGTTAACATCCTCTGACTATTCAATGTCTACCAACGCAAAGAACAGAACAGTAGGGTTTCCTGCTTGAGCAGGGGGCTGGACTAGAAGACCTCCAAGATTCCTTCCAGCTCTATTCTATTCTATTCTATTCTATTCTATTCTATTCTATTCTATTCTATTCTATTCTATTCTATTCTAAATTCGCCTTGCAATTATACTGTCCACTTTGCAGCTGGCATCCTCTAAATCAAAGTCTAATGCTAAGAAGAGACAAGCTGGCAGGAATCACTGCATTATTTCCATATCAAATCCAGGGTGGGTAATAAGTAAATAAAGCACTGTCTTTCTCAAAGCCATTTCCTTTAAGTAGATTAGATTCCCCATAATTCTTTGCACAACATGAATCTAAAGCCCCGGTCTGCAACATCTCAGTTGTGACTCTACATTTCCAAGTACAGATTTGCTGTGGGGGAGAATGTTCCCATCATTTCTTTTGGCTTTGAAAACATAACAGTTCTTAGCTCCCAATCTACTTCTTATCATTAGCAGAACTGTTATGTTCCTGAACTGCCAGCAAGTGAAACATAGACCCAGCCCTTAGGGATTTATTTCACTTAAGACAGAGAAGGCAAAACCCCCATTCCATTGCTTTAAATTGGCCTTCATTTTAGACAGCATTTTGGTTGAATTCCTGAAAATTTATACTGCACTAGGAATGACAGCTTTGTCCATTGTAGAAATGATTACTGTGAACAGTAAATTGGAAGAAAAGCTAGGTGTCTCTCAAATAAGAGCAATGGAGACCACAGAAAAGATGCAATCGAAATGTTCTAGATTGATACGAAGCGTCAATGGAGATTCTCAATCATCCAGGTCATGGTTATCTCAGAGGTGCTTTTTCCAAAAGACAACTGGACTTTCTTGTTTGTTTGTTTGAAAATATTTCACTTCTCATCCATGAAGCTGAAGAAGCTTCTTGGATGAGAAGCAAAACGTTTTCAGAGAAAAAACCAAGAAAGTCCAGTTGCCTTTTGGAACAAGCACCTCTGGGATATTGATATGAAGCTTACACAAGTGGTGACCCTTCCCAATGAATGCAAGAAAATTGTTAGCTGTGTATGTAGCAGTCCATGGAAATTCCATCAAAATGGAATTGCAAAAGAGGAATAGGGATTAATCACACGTGACAATTGGCAATTTATATCTCATGGCCTACAGTTGGCTGGATAAAGTACACCAAGAACAATACTTGGAACAAAATGCAAACATGGAAAAATGGATGCTGCCATTTTTAGCTAGAATGCCATTTTGAGCTTAAAAATGGTTCCCCATCCTTGGGTTTAAACAGGATGCCTCTTGTACCATTTTTCTACTCCCTTTATGGGGACCTTTGTCATCTTGATAGAGTTATGTAATTGAGAAGACATTTCTCACCATGTTGGATAATTCCATGCTCCAGAAGTCTGCGACCGAGTTGTTCAGCCTCTGTTCTTGTGGCAGCCTCCCCTTCCTGGATCAACCAGTCAATCAGTTGAGAGGCCATGAAAGTACGTTCATATTTTGCTCCTTCTTCTTCTCTGGCTTGTAAAATTACATTTTCAGTATTCATAAGCCTGCAAGGAAAGTATAGAATGGAAAAGGAGAGAGTCAATGCACACATAAGTACATCACACAGGTAGCTCTTTACTTACAGCTGGTCATTTTTACAGCTTGGAATGGGTGTTTTATGATCTGTAAAGCACTTCTGGACATTGTAAAACGTCATGCCAACCCCCTTGTCACATGACCACACTTGAAAGGTTTGGCAACTGACTCGCCGGTATGACCAGATGCAGCATTTCAAGGTCATGTGACGATTTGTGACTTTTTTGCCAGTTTTCCGGCATTCTTGCAAAAACTGCTCATATAATAATAATAATAATAACAACAACAACAACAACAACAATAAAAGTTGGAAGGGACCGTGGAGGTCATCTAGTCCAACCCTGCTCAGAAGAATGGGTTCACATAGAAACCACACCGTTTGCTTAATGATCGTGGTGTTTTCCTTAACGGTTGCTGTGAAAAGTGTTGGAAAAACAGTCATATAGGGGTGCCTCGACTTACAATCATAAGGACTTAAAACTGGATTTCCAGTCCCAATTGTGATCATAAGTCAAGGGCTACCTATATTGCAGAAATTCATTCATAAGTTTCCAATTTCTGAATGAATGAATGAATGACCCAAGCAATTGCTTTGATCTAATAAAGCAGATGATCCCATGTTTAGCTTGCTGCTTATCAAGCTGATTTTACACATGGTTGAAGCAAGTGTCATCTGTTCCATTCTCTTATGCCAATCAAACTCAGAAAACTAAAGCAGAAACCACTTTGGACTTTGTGCTTGAGGTGGAAAAAAAATGAAACTTTGAATTTAGGTTTTACCAATTAGATAGGTTTGTTGTTATGGAAATGGCTGGTTTATACTATTATGTAAAAGTAAAAAGTTGAGGTTTGATATTATTATCTTATTCTACTGCACCAAAGTGAGTCGGAAGTCAACGCCTTTTTTTTCTTTCTCCCCTTTTTCCTACCCTCTTCTCTTCCCCTTTCTTTCCGCTATCTTTCCCATTCTTTTCTTTTTGTATTTTATATTATAAAATAATAAAAAAAGAAAACTAAAGCAGAAAAGTCAAGATACGTTAATTTCATAGATAAAGCTACAATTATGCCTCTGTTCTTCATAGTCTGTGGGTCAGGTTATAATTCAACCAATCCATTTGCCTCTTCCCCAAATGGATATCCTCCAAATGTATAGAAACTACAATTTCTAAACGTTACAGTTAGTGTTAGAACCTAGCCATTCTGGTTGGAAGCTCTGGAACTTGCAGTCCAAATACATCTGGAAAACATCACGTCTAGGACAGTTTGTGCGCAACTTTTAATTTGGTGAAGGTTCAATGCAATGTAGAGTTTAGATGGGGGGTCTCAGTATTTTGTGCTGCTCCTCTTTAATTTCTTCTTCACCCCTTTTTTTAAAACAAGTTTTATTAATTTTCCAATTTTACAAAGCTCCAAGTGTTAGGGAAGCAACATGGTGATTGGGTGGTCCATAATCAAATAACAAGCTCTTTCATGCATATGTCAGGTTACATCATCAAAAATTTCCTGTTTCCTTTAGTTATTGTATCACATTCAAATTAATACATTGCTAATTATAACTCAGTAAGTTAAGACATATATTTTGTCTTATACGCCTTCATATCCTGTTTTGAATTTCAGTTAATTTTAGTTACAGTATTCCAGTTAACTTAATATCCATAGTCTTTAGATTTCGGGTGACCCAAAGTTCCCTTAGTTCATTACAAAATAATTGTCATATCTAAAATACATTTATTATTTACTCAGATAGCTTCTTATTTTATTTCACAAACATATTCTATTTCTCATCCTAATAACTCATCCCTTACTAATAAGATAACCGTTATCATCTCAATCTTATCATTAGCAGAACACCTTTAATAGGAGTTATTAGCCTGCAAGCCCCTGGTACCATCGCAATCCTCCCACTTAACCATTTTTTTCACATTTCTTTTGTAGTATAGGTTGTCCTTGACTTACGACAATGGCTTGAAGTTATGACAGCCTCTGTAAAAGTGATTCACATCCCATAAGTATAATAATGGCCGTTGTACTATTCCTGCAGTCATGTGATTGCAATGCAGGCACTTGGCAACTGGCTTACAATGGTTGCAGCATCTTGTGGTCACGTGATTGTGACTTGTAATTTTCCCAGCTGGCTTCCAACAAGCCAAGTCAATTGAGGAAGCTGGATTTGCTTAGTGACTGAATGGCTCACTTAACATCTATGTGATTTATTTAACAACTGTGATGATTTGCTTAACAACTGCAGTAAAAAATGGTTACAAAATTGGTCCTGACTCCTTAATGATTGCATTGCTTAGCAACTGAAATTCCAGGCCCAGTTTAAGGTCATAAGTTGAGGACTACCATAATGAACAGTTAACAGATGTGCTGTCAAGGTTGAATTGCTAGGATGCCTGCTAACTTCTATTGCTACTCAACTTGCCATAGAAACAAGGGGGAGGGATAGAAAGTGTTGGAAAGAAATAGGATTCTAAGAAGCTGTCCAAGGACAGTTAGAACCAAGGTCACAAAAGCAGCTGTCTGATGGAGAAGTGGACAATTCTCATAACAAAGCAAAGAAGTATGATTGGACAATGTGAACATTTGGTGGGTGGGGGTTATGCAAAGCTATTGTTAACTAACCAGACTTTTGTGCAGGAAAACCAGAGCTGGTTTTGCTCCTTCAGTTCCAAGATGTGTATTCAATAAAGTTTATCTTTTATAGCACTTCAAAGCCTTGAAGATTCCTTGATTCTGAATTCAGTATTGGATGGTTGACATGTGCCTCATAAATTCGCATAATGAACAAATTGCCACAAATGGAACAATTGTTCTTATAACTATGCCAAACCCTTAAATTGGTCTGCCAACATTTCCATCAACCTCTATATTAAGGAGGAGGTGAAGTCAAAAATATTCACAGTTGTTTTCTACTTCTTTTTTTTTAATAGAAGAATTTAGTCCCAGATCATTCACTTGGTACAGGTTAACATTGTGGAGATAATCTTTGTTTTTATGTTTTTCTTCTTCCAAAGCCATTAATCAACCCAGATGCCAAAAACCCATCGCCCTAAATCCAAGGCCACATCAAATGTAAAATCCATTAGCTAATGGTTTCAAGACAACTGTTGCATGAAAATTAGAAACTCTGCTTCTGCAGACACTAAGTCAAATGGTTGTCCAATCTCTTCTTAACAGAAGAGTTACACACACTTTCTCTAAGTGAGACATTTGTATTAATTGTTCTTCGACATGGAATGCCAGGAGATAGTACTGTATTAAACTAAATATTAATATAAGCAGGCCACATATCTGTAGAAACAAAAATATTAAATGGCTGAACTCGGGGAAGCTTACCAAAAACAAAATGTTTGTGACATGCTATTTTCAGAGAACTATATTTTGAGGCGAGTAAAAGTAAAGTTCCCTTTGAAATGAGCTGAATTCTTAGAAACTACATGGACACAGACTCATGTTGTTTTCTTGATAAAAAATACAGAACGGAATATTCTCAATAAAAAATGTAAAATTGAAAAGGTACTCATATCAATGCTTGCAACAGAAAATTGCTAGCTTTAATGCCTTTTGAATGGAAACAGCAGGATATTGGCTTATAGCTAGTCCAGCAAATGGTATATCAAACATGAACTTGGAGGTTTTTGAAAGTTCAGAAATTGTTGTTCTTAGGATCAAATCCCATCATTTTTTTCTAGTAAAAATAAATGTATTTTTTCCAGTAAAAATAAGTATAATTTTCTTCTTGGAAATGTTTCTTATTCAGACTGTGTGATGTACTGGGGAAGATTCCTTATAAATAGCCCATTAGGAACTATTTCAAAGGTTCATACACATAAGAACATGATTTTTCTTTGACTGAGGATATATATATATATTGAGCAAAGTGAAGATTTTTGGGGGGTTGATTAATTCATTTCCAAATGGTGAATATATGGCATAATATAGAGAACTTTTTTTACATGAAAGTCCAACCATATTCATGCTAGGAAGCATGTAGTCCTTCCTACTAATTCTAGGAATGGAAGATTATTGAGCTAGGGATTATACTTTTTGGACAGGTATGTGCAAAACACCTGGGAGATGAATTTAGGTGGTTTTTATTCTTGAGGAGCCAGGATTTTTGACTTTTTTCTTGGAATTGGAAATTATGTGGTGGAATGTGGTCTGGATTCCCAGGAAGGAGGAACTGAATTCCAGAGGACCAAGAGACAGCAAAGTTTAGACAGTTTAGTTGGGAGAGAGTTAAAATGGCTCCTCCTTAGAGATTCTCAGAGTATATCTTTAATGATGCAAGTAAATGTGTTAGTTTGGCAAGATTTCTGTATATAGGCAGGAAACAATAAAGGAAACTGCTTAGACATCAATGGGTGTCTTTTTTGGTTGGAGCGGGGGTCTGATAATTGTGAGCGGAATTGGAAAAAGCAAGGAACAAAAAAACTATTGCAGGATATGCAGTGCAGTTTTGTACCTTTTCCAGTTCAAAATTTTCACCAGGAGGGTCTCTTGGATGTCAGGGCCAAAGACAGCCTATTACTGATCCACATGAACTTCATGGTGATTCTCCTTCTCAATTAGCAAAGGGAAAGCAGAATTCTTATCGTAACTACCCTTAATCATTCTCTGGGAGGAATTAACCTTATGTCACAAAGGTAATACCAATAGTAATAGGCGCGTTGGTGTAGCCCCAACACAACTGGAATACCATTTGTACAACACTGGCATTGACAAATTCGCCATCAATCAATTGCAAAAGGCAGCTTTACTTGAAACAGCTTACATCCTCTAACACAGGGCTCTCCAACCTGTGGGCTGTAGCCCACTGCTGGGCTGTGGCCTGTTCACCACGGGCCATGTAAGTGGCTAGCCATTGCGCTTGCATGCGTGCACACACTCACCCATTTATGCTAGTGCCGCCACGAGCACTGCCATGAGCATCACACAAGGGCTAGTGGCCCCGTTTGTGTTACGT